TTCTCATAAGTGATCTTCCTGAGGGCTGTCCTTGGGTAGATCAGATGGTTGAATGGTTTAATTGGATGTCAAAGCCAAAGACCTCATCTCTGGGTGATTTTAGCAAAGGAGAGGACAAGAGAAAACAAAGATTTAATGGGAGAAGAATGGCTGTTTTTTATTCTAATTGTGCTGTATCTTGATGTTCCTTGGGACAATTCAAAGATCAAAAAGTTTCACCCTCAGAATTGTTGTTTTCATTTTATTAATCATGACAGCTAGTTTTTGCATAACTAGGACATTTACAAAAGGAGCACTTATAGAAGAACGTGTCTCCCATAAAACTAAAGATAGACATGACTCATATTAGCCACAGGGTGAGCAGTTTTCCCATAAGGCTGCAGGTGGGATGGGGCAATTCAGTATCTGCTTGCCAGTGACAGTGTGGCCTCAGATTCGATGGGTGCATTGGTCCTGCAGCTTTGCTCAGCCGGTGTGATGAGCGTGGAATGCTTTTCCACCAGTTACGTCCCCAGCCACGTGTACTGCTTATTTCACCACTTCTGTTATTTGCTGCCAACATCTTAATCTCACATGATTCTCGGCCTTCTCTCCAGCATTTGCCACTAATATCTTACATCCACCCCGACGTCACAGGCTCTCAGCACCCCTTCCTTCTCGCAGACTAGACTTTTCTATTTTCATCTGCCTTACGTTTCCTATTTAGACTTGCTCATTCCTTAAGCCCTGTCTTTGGTTGAGTTCCTGTTCACTGAGAGAAAATGACCAACTCCCAAGCCTTATATATGGTAAATGTAACATAAATGGGCATATGTATTTTAAAATTTATTTGTGGCAAATTGTGTCTTTAGACACAAAACTCATATGCAAAGCTAATAAATGCTAATACGGCATTCTTTTCTGAACCAGCTGCTTGATTTTCTTTAGGTCAATGGTAATCAGTATTACTGGAGTGTGTGTGTGTATACATGCATTTACACACACATACATGTTTATTAGTAGCTCGACACAGACACATACTCACGCCCATGTGTGTTTGCATATAGTTACGTATGCTGCTAATGCAAGCAGTGCTAGCACAGGTGTACAGAATTTAGGCTGGATCGCAACTTACCATTTGATATTAGCATCGAATTCTTTAGAGGACGACAAGGCTATTCAAAAATGGCTTTCATGGCATTGTTAATTGTGTGGAGATTCCAGAAAATAGCATCACAAACAAAGCTGGAATCTTATTGGTGTCCAGTAATATACAGAGAAGCTAATATACAGATCTCTCCAATTAATGTAAAGGCCTCTATAAAGAGGGTCCATGTCCGTTGGCAGGGGCAGGGGGAGGAGAGCGGCACTGACATTAATAGACTGAGTAGACTTCACTGCAGAGTTTATTCTGTCACCAGGGTGGGCTCTAAGTAAAAAAGGGAGACTACAGGGCAGGCTTTACCAAACACTTCTGTTGTACAGGCCATAATTAAGTCCTCTTTGAATGGTATCGCCTGCTGGGATGTTCAGTTGAGGGAGGTTACCATCATTTTGCTAGTTCTTTGAAGGCCATTTCACTGGGCTTGGGTTTTTGACTCCAAGATGGGAAGGAGACAAAACATGAGGAGAGCTCAGGTATGTGTCTGGCTGGCAAGTAAGGGAGGGCCATGTACCTTCCAACCTTAGATCTTAGACACAAGAAAGACCAATCCCACAGGGTTCAGATGGAGACTTTGCACCCTCACTGATCCCCATCCAGTCACTGTGTAGGAAGAAATGAGCTTGGTATAGGAAATAGCTAAGGAGGATCATGGGAGGTTAATTTTCTTCCAAATAAATTTCCTATTTCCTCAGGTGCCGTAATTATCGATCTTTTTTTAAGTGTTGTTTTTATATGTTTGTGGGATATAGTTGCCCTGTTATGTAAAACAAATGTCACTAGACCCAGGCATTAAACTCCAGGTTAGTATAATAAGTCTGGTTCTCTGTGATCTGTGGCTGACGCCTCTGAGGTCAGCTGAAATGAACTTTGTTCCGCAAAATGGTTTGTAAATATTGGTTCAGCTTTGGCAACAAGGGTGAACCGATCAGTATTTCTGCCTTATCCTGAGTTTATCCAAACAAACCCACCAGTTTTATATTTAAAAATCCAGGTGCTAATTCTTGGAGTCTCAAGTGTACCCCCATCTGTCCATGTGTATTAATCACCTGTGGGCTGATTGCTCTTAACAATGGCCACTCAGCACGTGAGGGGAAACACTCAGCCGTTACCTTGCGTGAAACCTCGGGAGGCTATTTTATTGAATGTACCCAGTTTTAATGTTCCTGAAAGCAGATGTGTTAAACAAGGAGCCATCCTCCGTGTGGAAGGAGGGAGCTGACCTGGGAGAGATGCGGCAGCTGGTCCCCTGGGCCGTGAGCCAGCGAAGAGGGTGGCCTGGGCATCCTCTCCACAGCACCTTTTAGGGCCTTGTTCTGTGAGCTGGCCGGTCCCGTCTTGCCACTGGCACAGGCTACCTCCCAGTTTGCTGGAGAGCCTGGCGTCTGTATTTTTAAACTTGCTGTCATTTCCACACCGGGTGAGAAGAGAAGGCAAAAGGGATCATTTGTCCTTGGACTGAGCGTCTGAGCTTGGATGCCAAGATATCCCTGTAGCTCCCTGGACTTTTTGAAATGAAGGAGGATGCCAGCTAGCCCTGAGCCCGATCATGACCACCAGAAATTTGGGCTAGTTCAGTGGGAAAAAAAAAAACCACAAAAAACTGTTTGCAAGTCAGTATTATCTGCGGAAGATTGAAAGGACTCAGTGGGTCCAGAGACTCTACGTGGTGGAATGTGTGTATTTTAGGATTAAGTTGAACGGTCTGGGTCACGGCCGGGGTTGGACAGAAAGACCAAACAGCAGGTGCCCGCAGGAGAGGCCGCAGCACAGAGGGTGCGGGGATTGCATCATGTGCACTGCACGGAGGGCCTGGGCAGCACTGCGGCCAGCCCGTCCCCGTCCGCCTCCCTGAGGACAGCGCCACGCCCGGCCCAGTTTCTCACCACGGCTGGCATTTTTCAGTTGCAGCAGATTCAGCGTCTGTCTTCACAGAGTACATACACCCCGAGGTCACGGGAAGAGTTTCCCAGGGGCGCCCTGGCTGGATGGCTTTATGGCACTGACTTCTGCAAGTGCTCCTTCCTAAAACTGCCTCACCTGCCTTAGAGATGCTCCTCCGTCCAGGTGTGAACCAGCCGTCCTTTCCCACCTCCCGTAACGAACTGTCCTTTTACCACCTTACAGACGGCGAACCCACCTTCAGTCTTATTATGGTGCGTTATTCCAGGGTGCCTGAGAAGGGTACATAGTTTTTTTTGTTTTTCAGTGTTCATAAAGTTTTTTTGTTTTTTTTTAACATCTTTATCGGAGTATAATTGCTTTACAATGGTGTGTTAGTTTCTGCTTTATAACAAAGTGAATCAGTTATACATATACATATTTTCCCATATCTCTTCCCTCTTGCGTCTCCCTCCCTCCCACCCTCCCTATCCAGCACCGAGCTGATCTCCCTGTGCTATGGGTACATAGTTTTAAAAATCAGTGGAGGGGCACACGTGCAAAAACGTTTGAAGACTGCAAATCAGGTTAATCTTCCTGGAACAATCTAAATTGCTGCTGGTGGGGAGCCAGCAGCACTGTGACCTCAAAGGGACAGTGTCCTGAACCAGGGCAATGCTGGAGAGAACTCAGTTCTCCAGCTGGGCTTCCAGCTCAGGGCAAGCTTTTGGAAGGAAGAGTTTGGACTCTTGCCTGAACATATTCACGATATGGCTTTTTCTTAAGAAGGGCCTTAAAACCTGGGAATCTCGGTGTTATTTTCTTCCTCACTGCTGCCTTCTGTGACTCAGAATTTAACTACTTGTGCTTTTTTTGTGTGGCTCTTACGTTGCGGGAAATACGACCGAACCCTCTGTTATCTGGCATATTTGAGGGGAGGGCATCTGATAAATTAGACATTGTCAACTGTTTTTATGTATTGCAAATGCTCAATGCTTTCATAGACTTAAAGTTGAATCTGGGAGTCTAGAGTTGGAAGGGCACTTAGATATAATTTAGTACACCTTCCCTGTTTTAAACGTGAACAAATCAAGGCCCAAACTAACACTTTAAACAAAGAAAATCTATGGAACATTATTTAATTTTCATTGATTAATTTATAAGATTCCTCAAAAGGGACGAACCCCATGAACTCTGGAATGTCATATTTGTGATATGTAGTCAGAACGCTGAGCCCTAAAGTTTTTTCATGCTTAACTAAAAGATAAGCTCTCGAGATGAAATTGTTTGTGATAATATGATAGAAGTGTTTACACACCTGCCTTAGTTTTGTAAAATATAGGTATCATTGGAATCCTGGATTATCTTCATTTTCAACCAAAGGGAAAGGCCCTAACCTGATGCTCTAGAAGCATTCAGAAGTGCAGGGCCTCATGTTTAAGTTCACACGCTTTGCTCCCTTTGGGTAGGATTGTTGGTAGCAGGAGTTCGATCATTTCCATTTAAGACTTCTAGGACAGCTCTGTTTTGTATTTTTACAGCAGTCCGCAACTGCAGTGCTCGGATGATGGAGTTCTAGTTGGGAAAGTGCTGGAGTTCGTTATAGGAGTCTTTTCCTCCAGGGCACTCTTACTCAAGTGCTTCTTGGTGGCACATTTTGAATATCTTTGCTGGAAGAATAAATAAATCTTCTCTTATTTTTACTATGGTAACATTCAATGATTTTCATTTATTGGGGTTTAAACTTTACTAATATAATACTCCTAAACAGATGCAGTGTCCCCTGTGACCAAAGAAGGTAGAAAAGCCTTACTTGGAACTGTTCAGTAGAATGAGTAAGCTTGGGCGTCTATCTTGACTCAAGTCTTCCAGAAAATACTACAGTGAAGGAATCATTAACGAACTGCCTGCAAATATGATCACATGTAAAATGAGAGATTTTCTGTATTTTGTTTCTGTAACACGATTTATCTTGCAGTGTGTGAACTTAAATCTCCCTCCGTGAGTGATTTTCTTTGGGGACTGGAGAACTCTGGCTGGTTGAGGCATATTAAGGCCATCATGGATGCAGGAATCTTCATTGCAAAGGTATGCGAATGCAGAGAATGGAAATTATGGGGCAGAGCAGCCAGTGTACTCTGACTTCAGCATGGAGATCTTGTTGCCTCGCGTGAGCTCCTCTGTACTAAACTGGGTGATACCAAATGGGGAGCTGGCTTTGCAGACCTCCATGAAGTTTGCCCTCTGAAGATGGGATTTTGTGAAAGAGAGGATGGTGTTCAGTTGACAGTGTATCATCAAGGCGATCAAGTGGTAAAATACTTTCAGAATGGTCTCTCTTCAGTTAGGCTTGGTCCTGGGTGGAGGAAAGAATTTTCTATAGGAGGGTACATCCAAATGTGAGTCACCTGAGTGACCGAGGCCTGAAGCTTCCATCTTAGCAAACAGCTCCCCCTTTTCAGTGATGGCAGAAGCAAGTCACGTTCCTGAACCTGGCAGGTAGATTCTGTTCTGCCAGAGGAAGATTTTGCTGCAACTTTCACAGAAGTTGCTTTTGAATGCATTGTCTATTTTGTTGTTCAGTGCGTTTTTTTAGAAAAGTAAATTCCCCTCAGATTTATACCTAAAGACAACCATATCTTTTCTGATGACATGGTATGCTCCCCTTTATTAGATAATTCATTTATTTAACAAATATTTATTCAGTGCTGGGCACTTTCACTTGGCTCTTTTCCTTTTATCTCTAATTTCATAGTTTTACAATTTATAATTTTTGTCTTTTCCGTTTTGAAAATGATTGCAGCCAGCAGCAGCTCCAGAATTTCATTTGGAAAGGCTTAAAGTGGAAACCCAGCAGGGAGGAAGCGGGTTGAAGGTGGGCTAGGAGACGTTCACACAGGAAGCCTGCTTGTATATGGTACAGAAGCCGGGCTCATGGCTCCTGGATATAAGGGAAGGGAAGTGACGCTTCAGTTACCGGCACCAAACCTCTCCTTGGCTCCGCCCTAACTACACGGGGGCGTGAACACTCAATAAATGAAGGAACAGGTTTTGGTATTGATTTTTTGCCTGTAAATCTTTTTTTGATTCTTTCTGCGAGTACAAAGCCAAAGCTAATTCTGATGATGTTTCCTGTTGATAGCCATCCTTTGCCCATCCTGTTTTTCAGGCAGTTTCAGAGGAAGGGGCAAGTGTGCTTGTTCATTGTTCCGATGGCTGGGACAGGACTGCTCAGGTGTGCTCGGTGGCCAGCCTCCTGCTGGACCCTCACTACCGGACTCTGAAGGGCTTCATGGTGAGTGTGGCCGCTTGGCCACTGTGCCATGCACGCAGTGCCTGGACAGAATGGACCTCTCTTCTGACAACTGTTGGCAACTTTTCCCCCTCCTCCTCAACATTATTTTTCTCTTAGTAGATCAGCATGATTAATTAAAGGGGGAAAGGGAAATAGGCTTGGAATAAGAAGGTGAATTTCTGGGATTTTGGAAACAATTCAAATCAATGCTATTAAAGGTGAATTTGGGGGCAAATATAAAATATCTACTTAGCAGTTTGTAAAATAGTTTTATACCTCATTTGTATTTCAAGTTTGATATATATACTTCTAGTTTATATATTTGATTTATATATATATTGATATATATACTTCAAGTTTGATATATATTTTCAAGTTTGAGGTAACATGACTATAAAACAGAAAACACTTTCCAGAAAAAATATTTGGAGAAAAACCTTTCTATAGGAAAAAGTGTTTTCACTTACTGCTTTTATATTTTAAATTGTCCTTCACAACTCTGGATATCCAGAGAATACTGAAAACTTGACAGTGTTTTTGCATTCTTTGCTGAAATTATGGGTACATCCTCTCCTAGACTTTGCACCTTTTAGATGTGCATCAGAACTTGACATGTTGCTTCCAACTGCAGAATATCTGTGTTAGTTGCCTGGAAGGGTGAAGCTTTGGCTAAGCCAGAACCAAAATCTTAAAGTGACTGCAGGGACTTCCTAGCGGCTGGGAGGTTACCTGGTTCCTGCCTCTTGAACCATGATTTGGTAGAAAGTGCTTCAGAGGATCCTGAATCCATGCTTGGGATCCTTTATCGAGTATTATCAGCTGACACTCTGGGGACAAGAGAGAAGTGGCAGGTTTCCGCTCTTGGGCTTTTTCTTTCCTTTTGTTTTGAATGCGTCAGACAACTTCCTGTCACCTGTGACAGCACTGAGACTTCAGGGTGACATTCCTGCTTCAGACCCCTCCCCTGGACTGAGGTTAGGGGCTGTGACAAGCAGCATTGCCTGTTGGTTGAGAGTTGGGCTAGATGGGCTGTGGTGGTTTCTGGAGCTCGGTTACGAGGTGGCATCCACCACTTGCCAGTAGCGTGATCTTCGGTGAGTATTTAACCTCTCTTTCAGTTTCCCCCTCTCTAAAATGAGAGTGATAATCCCTGCCCCACGATGAAATGAGATCATACATGAAGCAATATGAACAGTGCTCACTGAAAGCACTCTGTGGGTGGTGGCATTACATCTTCCTATGTCCGCTCTCGTTTATTTTTCCTATGGAAGGCTTTCAACTTTGCCCTCTGACATGCATCTCTATAGGGGTGGACAGTGAGTGTTTGTTCATGTGCAGGTTATGGAGGAGAGTGACTTCTGCTCCAAGAACCTCTGAATTCAGAATCCTTCAGAATTATTCGTGCTGGTCTCTTGTTTTCCTTCATTTGCTTCTCTCCATGATATTTATATTCTATCTTGTATAGGTATTAATTGAAAAGGACTGGATTTCCTTTGGTCATAAGTTTAATCACAGGTAAGAAATATTTTAAAATCTGTTGTAGTGAATGTTTAGGATAAAAAAGATAATCTGTTTCTGAAGTTCTCAATTGAGTGGGGGAAAATAGCCTTGTTTTCAGAGTTTCCTTGTGTACCTTATTCAGGAAGTTAAAATTTTGTTAAATATGTGTATCACAGATAAATAAGTTCTAACTCGAGAACGGTTGGTATTTACTGAGCAGAACTAATATTAAGTTCTTCCAGAAGAGACAGAAGCTTGTTCATTAATCGACCTAGAAAGGATGGACTCTCCCTTCCTTCCACACACATTTGATTTACTAAATTATTCCAATTTTGAAGTGCAAACATTCATTTTAAGCTGCACGTTGTGAAATGCCTGTGGAACCGTTTCTCTTTGATCTTCCACAAGGGGAGTTAAATTGGGCTCATCCTGCGGCATTTGTGTCCCAGGCGTCTCTGGAGAGCTAATGTAGGACAGCGGCCCAGGCTTTGAGCCCAACAGATCCAGCCTCAAATCCAGGCTGTGGCATTTACTGTGTGGCCTTGGGCATCTGTCCTCTCTGAGCATTCGCCTCCCGTCTGTTTAAAGGGGAGACCCTCCCTAATCCACGGGGTTATAGCAAGGCTTTTAAAACCATATATGTGAATAGCCCAGCTCCTTGCCTACTAGCCCATCTACTGGGCTTTCAGTAAACAGAAGCTACTGGCCTCATTTGGTTAGTGTGGATGGTAATGTCTGACGGGTGTTCTGGTGTCTCTGATCCCTGAGTGTTACTTGTTGTAGCTGGTATGGTCTCGTCTTTTAGAGGTAAAATTTAAATTTAGGCAGCGTGCTGATAATAATTTAGAGATTTTGATATACATTTTTGATTGTTTGAATGTTTTCCTAAAATAAATTCTCAATTTATGGAGCTGCCCATATTTATTTTTGTAAGTTTTTGCATTTAGCATTAGTTGAGCATTTATTATGTGGTTTTCTGGAATTCTATTTTTATAATTAATTGTCTTTCCCGGAAAGCACAGTGATTCGATTTTACAAATGAGAAAATTAAAGCCCCCAAATAATTAAGTAACCTTACGATCAATTGTTATTTTCAATTTTGGGGGTTCCACCGACTGTCTGATAGGCACTTAGGATCTCTGAGGTAGAGGATCTGTGGCAGAAAGAATATAGAAATGGCTAATGTGTCTTGTGAGGAAAGAACATATTGGGCAACCCCTTTTTAAAGCGACCAAAGGTGAGTGGGACTAAACCTTTTGAGACGTTTCCAGGCAGTTTCTAATGTTTCCACCCTGGAAAAAACTACTAAACCGATCCTTGCTCATTCCTATTCCTCAAACTGATTATCCATGTCTGAGAAGATGAGGTTCTATATTGTTATTCTGTATTTGATGGCACCCAAATCGTCCTTTTGGATTCTTTCTGAAATTCACATAATAGTGTAAAGGACAAGGCAGTCTTCGTTTAAAAATCAGTACAAACATGAGGGAGGAGATTCCTGATGTACTCTTGAGAACAGTGATACGAGAGATATAAAGGTATATGGGAATCTGGTCACGTGGAAATAAATTGACAAGCTTTAACACTGGTCTAGAAATGGAAATATCCCTAGAAACTTGGGGAACCAGTTTTTTTTAAAGCTGTCTCTCTTCCTCTTTTCTTCCCAACAAAACCATGCAAAAACGAAAAACTCTGAAGTTGCTTAGACATTTCTTCCCATTCTCCCCCGGTCACTAATTAAAGTGGAAGATTTATTTCAGAAGTTCTGATGTACTTCGCACGTTTGAATGAAAGGTTGCTCTCTCCATGGAAAGACTCCTTGAATGCACTAACACTTTTCTTTTGTAATTATAACGTCAACATGTCCCTTCTCTGCCCAGACCTTCACTACAAAGTTTCTTTTGACATTAAAGAAGTTAAATCCACTTCTTTCTGCATTCCAGGTTTATAAGATAAGATGTTTAGGAACTAGGGTTGCTTCTATGATTGTTTTTGCATTTATAGCTTTCGAGTTAAAAAAAAAAAACAAAAAAAGAAACCCCAAAAAACCCTGCCGTAACGTCTCTCATACTTTGTTTTACAGATATGGCAACCTAGATGGTGATCCCAAAGAAATCTCTCCAGTTATTGACCAGTTCATTGAGTGCGTCTGGCAGTTAATGGAACAATTTCCCTGTGCCTTTGAGTTTAATGAGAGGTTTTTGATTCATATTCAACACCACATCTATTCCTGCCAGTTTGGAAACTTCCTATGTAACAGCCAGAAGGAGAGACAAGAACTCAAGTAAGTGTTTCAGTGTTTAATTTTTATCGAAAGAGTTTGTGACTGAGAATTTCAATGGCCTTCCACCGTTTTGAAGACTGTTTTACCCACACATCTATACTGACAGAGTAAAGTTATTTTCTTTTTCCTGATGTCACTTTAACAGTTTAATGCCATCAGCTGACAAAGATAGGTACAAGTCCATTTTGCCCAGTTCCTGCCTAGCGTCCACAGACAGGTAGGTAGACTTCACGTACTGATAATGGAAAGGAAGCTTCTTGGAGTCAGAGAAAGCAATTTTTGCATTTAAAAGGAAAGAGTTAGACATCTTTGGCCGATATACTGTCATAAGAATTGCAAGTACAGTAGTCCCCCTTATCCATGGTTTCGATTTCCATAATTTCAGTTATCCAAGGTCAACTATGGTCTGAAAATATTAAATGGAAAATTCCAGAAAAAAACCGATTCGTAAGTTTTAAATTGTGAGCCATTCTGAGTAGCACAACGAAATCTTGTGCTGCCCCTCTCCATCCTGCCTGGGATCGCCTGTTACTTAGTAGCTGTCTCGGTTATCTGATTGACTGTCGAGGTTAACACAGTGCTTGTGTTCAAGTAACCCCTATTTTACTTAATGGCCCCAAAGTTCAAGAGTAGTGATGCTGGCATTTTGGATATTCTTATTATGCCTAATTTATAAATGAAACTGTATCATAGGTGTGTATGTATAGGAAAACACAGTATACACAGGGCTCAGTACTGTCCACAGTTTCAGGCATCCACTGGGGGTCTTGGAACATATATCCCATGGATAAAGGTGGACTACTGTATAACTGGGAAAGTAAATTAGAAACTCAGGTCACTCTCTTATTCAGATTAAAACTGGATTGCTTTTATTGAGAGGGAAAAAGTAGATGAAATGTGGACGTTTTATAAAGTCAAAAACGTAACACAAAGTGACTTAAGAGCTGCAAATCAAAGAACATTTTTGAAATTTTTATAAAATAAAATGACTTTAAGTGTGGTATATATAATATCGGATTTAATTTTGGAAATGATCAGTTCAAATAAAAGACTCTACTAGTTTATAGAGCCTGAATGGAAAGAAAATGACTTTTTCCAGTAGGTACTAGTTGATGTTTTCTCCAAGGAACTTTAATTCCAATAAATCGTAATGATTTAAAAGTAGCCTAGTACATCCTTTAAGCTCACCTGTTTTCCTAGGTAGTTTTGTGATTTGTTGGGCCAGATTAGCAAAAGGGACAAATGTCATAGGAATTCAGTGAGGATTAAATGAGAGAAAATATGTGAAGCATTTAAATAGTACCTGGCAAATAATAAAAATCCAACGACTATTTGGGGGAAAATTCTTGTGGTTTTATTTTACACTCAGAGGGATCAAGCATCTTGCTGAGGCCAGTACGGACAGCAGAGGAGTCGAGACTGTTACAGAGCTCTCCTGCTGTACCATGAAGACACAGGTTGCAAATTTCCCTGCTAGAGAACAGGGACACCTGATGTTCAGATAACAGTTTTTGATCCCTTTCCAGCTTTAATATTACATGTCTACTATTTGTAAGAATGAAGATAAGCTATATTCAAGGCTTTTTTTTTTTTTAACAGAATTCAAGAAAGAACATACTCTTTATGGGCTCACCTGTGGAAGAATCGGGGTGACTACCTGAACCCTCTATTTAGAGATGATCCCAGTCAGACCCAGGGAACCCTCCATCTCCCCATGACACCATGCAACTTCATGTACAAGTATGTAAACCTCTAGGACTTTAACAAGTATGGCTATGAACTTGGATTCTGGCATTTTTTACCATTTGGAAGTTGAAGTGTATGAGCTTCAAGGCTTTTTTGGATGCAAACACACTGAAGGAAGATGCTTAAATATCTCATCTGGCATTTTTGCCAATGTCTCCTCTCTCTCTCTTTTCCCCCCTAAATGTGGAATTCTCTTTAGAAGTCAATGTTTTGTAGTAATGATATCCTAAAAATGTAAGTTCCAGTTTGTTTAAAAGTGAAGGAGGGAGGGAGGGAGGGAGAGAGGACTTTAGAAGTTAAATGTGGAATCACAGGTTTAGGTAGTGATCATGACACAGCTTACCTTCAGAAATACTGTGGCTTTGGTTCCCGACCACTGCGAGAGAGTGAATACAATAACGAGTCACATCAATTTTTTAGTTTCCCAGTGCATATAAAAGTTATGTTTACACTATACGGTAGTCTATTAAGTGTGCAACAGCATTACGTCTAAAAAACAATGTAACCATGTTATATACCTTAATTTAAAAACACTTTATTGCTAAAAAATGCTAACCATCATCTCTGAGCCTTCAGTGAGTAGTAATAGTAACATCAAAGATCACTGATCACCATAGCAAAGAAAATAATACTGAAAAGTCTTGAAATATTCTGAGAATTACCCAGATGTGACACAGAGACACAAAATGAGCAAATGCTGTTAGAGAAATTGTGCTGATAGACTTGCTTGGCACAAGGTTGCCACAAACCTCCAATTTGTAAAAAAAACGCCATCTCCACAAAGCACAGTAAAGCAAAGTGCACCTGTATTCTCATTTGCATTCCAGTATGCTTTACTGTGTAGGATAAAAAAGGGAGGATTTATTGTAAATCTAAATTTTTGGTGGTTGTGATAAAAACAAGCGAAAACCCTCAAATTTAAAAGACTCCCTTTGTGGCTGAAAGATTCTGCACGTTAATACAAACACTCATTTTTCAAGTTGACTTCCAAACTAAGAGCCATTTTCTTAAGCCCAAAAAAGAAAGAAAATGGTAACATGTACTACCTTCAGTCTGTTTTAGAAAAATATGTTATGTGCCTACTAATTCAGTACCATCTGTACAAGTAGACTTCATGAATTTATTCTCCCCGAAAGAAGTCTACTGATTCAAGAAAATGAAAACATCAACATGAAGTTATCACCTTAGTAAAGTGGCTTTTTTGAGCCTGTGCTTTGCATATTTGGTTATTATTAGGACGGTGGGACTGTGGGTTGAAAGATTCCTTAGAAGACTCGAGGATGTGGATATACAGATTGTGACCTGGTGTTTCATGAAGCGCTGCTGTCCTCCCTAGATTTTGGAGCGGAATGTATAACCGCTTTGAAAAGGGACTGCAGCCCCGACAGTCGGTCACAGATTACCTTATGGCTGTGAAGGAGGAAACCCAGCAGCTGGAGGAAGAACTCGAGGCCCTAGAAGAAGTAAGACACACTTGCTCTTGTTAACCGTATTTTGTGATGATCACTGCTCTGGGAAAGCCTCTCATGACTCGGGATGTGTGAAATGTAGCAACAGAGCCATTTCACATTTTTAGCTGGTGGGTAACAGGAAACACAGCCCCCAAAGGTGAGCACTTACCTATAGGCACTTGATACGTTTCAGACATCTGGCTTGGCTCGCTTCCTTGGTTTGCTTCGGGGATGATGAAAATATTAGGGAACTAGATGGTAGTGAATGGTTGTGTACCCTTGTGAATATACTAAAAAACCACTGAACTGTACACTTTAAGAGGGTGAGCTACTTATATCTTAATTTAAAAAATTAGATAATGAACACCTCACTCCTAATTTTAAAAAAATGTATTTTGAGTTCACAGGGTGAAAGTCATTACGTAAAACCAGATAGATACAGAAAGAAGGATGCCAGGTGCTCTACCTATGCTACGTTTTCTGCATTTTATAGAAAACCTGTGCTAAGGCAGTGCCATCCTTACGTTAGGGATGAAGAAAGCAAGCCTCACAGAATCTAATTATTTTGTCCAAAGTCATGAAGTCTAGTTTTCAACCCAAGTCCGTCTAAATCCCATGTTCTTATTTAACATTATACCCAGCTGGAAGGTAATGAATACCTTTAGGCATGCATATACAAAAAAGATACATGATTTATGATCGTTCCCTGAAATTGTTGTTTCTTTTTTAGAGGCTGGAAAAGATTCAGAAAGTCCAGTTAAATCGCACTCAAGTGAAGAGTAAGCAAAGTGAACCCAGCAGACACTCAGGGTTTTCTACCTCAGACAACAGCACAGCCAACACTCCCCAGGATTACAGCGGGAATATGAAATCATTTCCATCCAGGAGCCCTTCACAGGGCGATGAAGATTCTGCTTTGATTCTAACCCAAGACAATTTGAAAAGCTCAGACCCAGATCTGTCAGCCAACAGTGACCAAGAGTCTGGGGTGGAGGATCTGAGCTGCCGCTCCCCCAGCGGCGGGGAGTGTGTGCCGAGTGAGGACAGCGGCAAGGACCGGGATTCGGACGAGGCCGTGTTTCTCACGGCCTGAAGGTCCCCCCTGGGGGGACACACAGAAACACGTTCCAGAAATAAGGGAACAGTGCAATTTCAAACGAACGACAAAGTAGCCCAACAAATGATACAGGTCCTTGAGAATTATAAAATGTAGCAGTGAAAAGAGAAAAGCCCAACTTTTAGTTCCTTCAGGTGTTGAAGAACAGGAAGTAGCCATTTCTTTTATCAAACAAGTATAAGGAAAATGATTCCCCATTTTGAAAATCATTCTAGACTGTGGAAGAAGTTCCATTCACTACAGAGCAATGACCTCTACCATCACCTGAGGTTATCAATGCAAATCTTCCTTGATAGCCTGCAGCTGGTCAGAAAGTGCCCTGACCTCTTCACACTTATCACTTTAGTCTTTCCCCTTATTTCACTTCCAGATGCATATTCTGTTTCCTAAAATATTTTGTTACCTTCCTTCCTGACTCTGTTATCAGTATTTCTAATAATGGAACACATTGTGGCTAATAGACATATTTCTGTAACTGATGAGCTCTGTAACTGCTCTTAAGCTTATCATTCAGGTTTATTGTTCACTTTAACTTTCTCTTAGGTAATATATTTTAAATCGTTATAATAATTTCGTTGCCTTTTCCTGGAATTTCATATTGCTCCTTATTTAAAAAACGCTAAGACTTACAACACACTTTTCTCTAACACCAGTGTACCACCTAATAAAGTAGAAACAACATTTACTCTCTGGTTCTTAAATATGAATTTGGATCATATTAACTTCTTTTCTAATAACAACCTTTTATTACTACTCCAGAGGCCACATCACCAGGACAGGGTGGGTCAACCACCAGCCTGATCCCTGAAGTATGACTGACTGTATAAAGTCACAGGGCACCATTTCAATGAGAGAAGATGTCACGGAAGAACTAGAGAATTTAGTTTTCATGTCTGTTTACCACGTGGAGTAAGTTCTGTCATTTGTTACCTTAGGAACCGTGTGACTGGTTAGTATTGTTTGATCGACGTTCTGCCTGCAGAGCCCACACAGCTGTCTCAGCCAGCAGCCCCGTTCATCAACAGAGTCCGGTCAGTCGCTGGTGCAGTCTGACCAGAGAATGCGACAAGGTGCCGGTTTGCCTAGCTTGGGCTCCCGAGGGGACGTGCTGCTGGCCCTGGAGTCCAGTCTGCCCACGCCCAGGCAGAAGAGCTGAGCCATGGCACCTCTGCTGTAGACTGTGGCTCCTGGCCCCTACTGACCAGAAAGCCTGTTCAGGAAGATTTGGGAGCTGCCTGAAATGGGCCTTCTCAGTCCTCCCCCGGCAGGAGACAGAGCCCCACCCGATAGGGAGGGGTGGTGAGAACACCTGGAAGCTGCATACCCCAGCAGTGCCTGAGCTGAGAAGCGGGTGGGCAGAGCTGACTGCCCTGAGAGCAAAGCCAGTGGCCCTGTTTGGCCAGGGAACCTGGGGCACAGGTTGACTTGAGACCACGAACAAACAGCGTTAGTGACCTTCGAGCTGCTGCTCCCACGGTGCCTGAGCAGGGAAACTCATCTGTAGCCCCACTTATTGCTGAAAACATGCATCAGCCTGCCTGACCAGGGAGCTTTACCAGAACACACGGGAAACTGCATAACCCATCCAACAGCCCCGTTTACAGGGGCAGTTGAACAGAGAGCACAGCCTGTGACTTTCCCTGTCTGCAGAGCAAGACTGGTGGCCTGCACCTTCAGTGCACACTCCTGCCTGATTCAGGTTCCCAAACAATGAGCTGTGCAGGCCTTGTGTCCCATCCTGCTGCACCACCAGGGCAGGGAAGCTAATTTCATAGCCCCACCTAATGCTGAGTATAGTATCCAGTCTCAGCTGTCTAGTAACATCACAGAATCCAAGCAACCATGAAGCCCATCCTACAGCCTCACTTGGGTGGGAGGGGAACCAAGCCAGCAGTCCTACCAGGCTATCTCAGCCAATGACCGTTGCCTCCCCCTCAGTGCTCAAACAGATGCCCTGCCCAAAAATAGATCACCTAAGTACATAAAGCAAAAACTAGCAGAGCTAAAAGGAGAAATAAAAGCAATAAAATAATAGTTGGGGACTTTAATACCCCACTCTAGACAATGGGTAGATCATCCAGGGAGAGAATCAATAAGGAAATAGCAAATTCGAACCACACTATATACCAAAAGTACTAACAGACATATACAGAACATTCTGTTCATCAACGGCAGAATACACGTTCTTAAGTGGACATGAACATTTTCTAGGATACACCATGTTAGGCCACAGAACAAGCCAGTATATTCAAGAAGACTGAAATCATACCAGGTATCTTCTCTGACCACAATGGTATGAAACTAGAAATCAATAACAAGAGGAAAACTGGAAAAGTCACAAACATACGGAATGAAAACTCTCGTGAACAACCAATGGATCAAAGAAGAAATTAAAGGGGATATAAAGAGTATCTTGAGACGAATGAAAATGGAAACACAACAAAACAAAACTTACGGGATGCATCGAAAGCAATTCTAAGAGGGAAGTTCACAGCAATAAATGCCTACATTAAGAAGCAAGAAAGATCCCATATAAACATCCTAACTCTACGCCTTAGGGAACTAGAAAAAGAAGAGCTGAGCCTAAAGTTAGCAGAAGGAAATAGCAAAGATTAGAGCAGAAATAAATAAGAGAATATGAAAACAACAGAAAAGATTAACCAAACTAAGACTTGGTTCTTTGAAAAGGTAAACCAAGGAAAAAAGAAAGGACCCAAATCAACAAAATTGTAAATGAAAAAGGAGACATTACAACTGATAGCACAGAAATAAAGAATTGTAAGAGGCTACTATGAAAAACTATATGCCAACAAACTGGACACCCTAGAAGAAATGCAAAATTCTTAGAAACATACTATCAAGAGTGAATCAGGACAAAATAGAAAGTCTGAATAGACCAATTATAGTAAAGAGATTGAATTAGTAATCAAAAATCTCTCACGGAGGAAAAGCCCAGGACCAGAGGGCTTTAACTGGTGAATTTCACAAAACATCTTAAAAATTAATGCCAATCTTTCCCAAAAAATTGAAGAGGAGGGAACAGTCCCAAAACTCATTTTATGAGGCCAGCATCACTGATAGCAAAGCTGGAAAAGAACATTACCAAAAAAGGAAACTACAGACCAATATCCCTGATGAATAGAGATGTAAAAATTTGCAATAAAATACTAGCAAATTGAAATCAGCAGCACATTAAAAGGATCATTCACCATGATCAACTGGGATTTATACCTGGCATGCAAGGATGGTTCAACATACACAAATCAATGTGATAAATCATATTAATCAAATGAAGGAAAAAAATATCATCTGATTAGATGCAGAAAAAGCATTTGACAAAGTTCAACATTCATTCATGATAAAAACTCTCAACAAATTAGGTATACAAGGAATATACTTCAACATAATAAAGGCCACAAGGGATAAGCCCACAGCTAATATCATACTGTTGAAAGGCTGAAAGCTTTTCCACTAATTTCAAGAACAAGATAAGGGTGCCCACTCTGACCACTTCTACTCAACAAAGTAGACCAAAGTAGAAGGAAAAGAAACAAAAGGTATCAGAATTGGAAAGGAAGAAGTAAAACTGTCTCTGTATGTAGATGACATGTTTTTATACATAGAAAATTCTAAAGGCTCCACGAAAAAAAAATCTGTTAGATCTAATTAACAAATTCAGTAAAGTTGTAGGATACAAAAGTAACGTAAAAAGTCAATGGCATTTCTATATACTAACAATGAAATTATCTGAAAAAGAAATAAAATGATCCCATTTACAAGAGCATCAAAAACAATAAAATACTTAGGAATAAACCTAACCAAGGAGGTGAAACATCTCTACTCTGAAAACTACAAGACACTGATGAAAGAAATCAAAGACACAAATAAATGGAAAGGCATCCTGTGTTCTTGGATTGGAAGAATATTGTTAAAGTGATCGTACTACCAAAAGCCATTTATACATTCAGTGCAATTCCCATCAAGATTCCAGTGGCATTTTTTAAAGTAGTAAAAATAATCCTAAAATTTATATGGAACCACAAAAGACACGGAATAACCAAAGCAATACTGAGAAAGGAGAACAAAGCGGGAAGCATCACACTTCCCAATTTCAAGCTATCCTATAAAGCTATAGTAATCAAAACAGTATGGTACTGGTATAAAAACAAATAGATCAATGGAACAAAATTATGAGCCCAGAAATGAACCCAAGCATACATGGTCAACTAATATTTGACAAGGGAACCAAGAATACTCAGTGGAGAAAAGATGGTCTCTTCCATAAATGGTGCTGCAAAAATTGGATAGTCATATGTAAAAGAATGAAACGACCACTATCTTATACCACTCCCCAAAATGAACTCAAAATGATTAAGACCTAAATGTACAACCTGAAACCATGAAACTCCTAGAAGAAAACAGAAAAAAGGCTCACTGGAATGTGTCCTGGCAGTGATTTTTGGATATGACATCTAAAGCACAAGCAACAAAATAAGTAAGTAGAACTACATCACACTAAAAAGCTTCTGCACAGCCAAAGAATAATTGACAAAGTGAAAAGACAACATATGGAATGGAAAAACATATTTGCAAACCATATATCTGACAAGGGGTTAATATTCAAACTATATAAAAAACTCATACAATTCTACAGCAAAAAAAAAAAATCCAATTAAAAAATGGGTAAAAGACTTGAGTAGACATTTTTCTCAAAGAAGATATACAAAAGGGTCAACAGGTATATGGAAAGATGCTCAGCATCACTGGTCATTAGGGAAATGCAAATCAAAACCAAAACATAATGAGATATCACCTCACATCTGGTAGGATGGCCAACATCAAAAAGACAAGCAATACGAAATGCTGGTGATAATGTGAATTTAAGAGAACTCTTGTGTACTTGTGTTAATGGGATCATAAACTGGTACAGCTACTATGGAAAACAGTACGGAGGACCCTCAAAAAATTAAAAATAGGACTACCATATGATCCAGAAATTCTACTTGTGGGAATACAAAGGAAATGAAAACACTAATTCGAAAAGGTAACCTGTACCCTTTCATGTTCATAGCAGCATTATTTAAAATAGCCAAGACATGGAAACAACCTAACTGTCCACCAGCAGATGAATGAATAAAGAAGCACACACACCATGGAATAGTATTCAGACATAATAAATGAGGAAATTCTGCCTTTTGCGACAATGTGAATGGGCCTTGAGGGCATTATGCTAAGTCAAAGAAAAACAAATACTGTATGATTTCACTTATATGTGTAATCTAAAACAAACGAACAAACCAAAGCTAGAGAAAAAGAGATCAGATTTGTGGTTAACCTGAGGTGGAGGTGGGGTTGGGGAATTGGAGAAAGGTGGTCAAAAGGTACAAACTTTCTGTAGCAGGGAATACCTTGTTAATGATACTTAGGATAAGCTGTAATAGCTTTTGCATTTTTATAACATAACTCACTTCATACCACTCTTGTAGTTGATTATTAACTCTTAGAAACTTCTTTGCCTCATGTTGAGGATGAGACTTTAATTTCTTCCATTTGGCAGTATACATCTACAAAAATAAATAACAAATTAAAAAAAAAACACAGTAACTATACCAAACAGAATTATGCATTTATTTTGAAAAGCAAATACCATAAATCTTTGATATTTTAAAATTTAGTTCTTTAATG